AAACATAATTACGGTTAATCAGTCGTTTCCATATATTAGATGGACGTTAACAGTTTAATTACTTAGATAATTACCACCATGCTTTTTTTTTTTTTTTTTTACTCAGTTAAAAATGACTTTTTAAGTGTCAACTATGAACTCTGATAATGAGAATTTTTTCTAGAAGAATTAACAGAACTAATAATAATACATGATTAATAATAATAATACATGATTAATTGTTGTGACCTATAAAAAAACGTTTAAATTTTTGTTCACTCACAGTTTTGAATTTGAAGATTCCTCTAGATACACGCTTCCCATTTCAGACAAAGTAATAGAGCCTTTATAAGATAATAATAAGACCCGTAAATATATAATGTATTAGTATATAATAATCTATTAGAATAAAGAAGTAACAGTATACATGTTTAACATAATTACCAAGTTCACTAAGGGAACATGATGAATTTGTTGAGTCATGCGCATTAGGCTTGATAAATGGTGGGGGTCCTTTAAAATTTAAAGACATAAACATGTAAATAACATTGTCAAAAATTCTTTTCTAATAATAAGAAAAATTCTCACGTAAACCTTCATCATAGGGATCTGTACCCAGTGGATTAAGTCCCACCGGTAAGAAAGCAGGATAAGCTTGAGTATTCAATTGAGCCAGTTTGTCACTTAGCGAAAGCTCATTACTTTGCTCTAGACTATTAGTCATTTCTTCTTCTAAAAATTCATTGGTATAATCATTATTCGGATCTGCTGTGTGAATCATGACACTTCCCGATAAATCTTGAGCACCAGGTGATGAAGGATTTGATAAAGTTCGGGACAACGGCATAGTCAATGATGCAGCAGGGGTCGCGAATGAAGTTGTAGTGGATGATTCTATGGTAGACAGATTAGTTACAGGAAAACTATCTTGCCTGGGTGTCATTTGAGCAGGTTGCCTAAAAACGGGATCAATGGTAGTAATTGTTGAAACGGAAGATGAAGTAGACAATGGTCGTCTAGAGAAAGTAGGAGATCCAGTCTGGGGAGGAGAAGGCGTAACTTGTGTCTGTTTCGCTATATAATGCAAAATTAATAAAATTAATAAAAATCAAAAAAGGAATGATAAATCCTCAAATGAGAGTTCATACCTTCATTCAATGATTGAGTTACGGTAATTGAAGAAGAAATTGATCCACTAACTAATTTTTTTCCATCTGACAAACTGGTATTACTTCCGGTTCGCATCCTATCTTGAGAGCCCGTACCTGCACGTGCTGGTGTAA